AATTTATTTATTTAAAATATCTATTTATTTAAATTTCAAATATAATTTATATATTTAAATATAGTACTTATTTATATATAATAATTTTTTTATATATAATAAATATTTAAAGGCTCTTACCTTCACAGTTGCAAACGACATTCGATTCGAGTATGTCCTCGTGTATCTGCATGAAATGAGAGTTATTTTGGCCACATGTATGTCTTAGCTAGGGTGTTAATGATAGTAAAAAGCAAAATAAAGAAGAGAAATAAAAGGTTAAAATATTACTGAGAAAATAAGGTGTATCTCCTTTTCTAATATAATTTTTATATCCTTGTAGTAAAGAATGTTGTTTTAGGTGTCCCAAAGTATAGATCCCTTACCAAATGGTATTTTCTTTACATTCAAATTCACCTTCTTTAATATTTTTTTTGTCAACAATAAAGTTATTTATTATTTTTGTAATTATGTACTTTAAGCATTTCACTCTTAATATATAAAATAACAGATCAATTTGATTTATGTATTAAATGACCTATATTTATCATTATTATTAAAATTATTAATATATAACTTAAATATGCTATAAATTGTATAATCATAATAATTGGAGTACTAATATCATACAATTATATAATTATGATACTTGAAAGATTAAAATTGCACGATTATAATACTTGAGGGACAAAATCACACAATTGTTATACTTAAGACAAAAAATGTATTTAAACCAAAATAATTTTATAAGATTGACCATATAGCCTTTTACTGGTGGCATAGGTATGATCAACAATATGTTGAACCCAATTTCAGTAATAATTCTAACTCTCTCAACTCAGGAAACCAACAACAGATGCAAGCTGTGTTTGTTGGTTCTCAAACCATGGCGTATGATGATCAGTGTTATCCAGATTTGGGAGCCACTAATCATCTCACACCAGATTTGAATAATCTTGGTTTAAGAACTGCTACTACAAGCTAAAACAAGATTCATATGGGAAATGGTCAAGCAACAGGGATCAATCATACAAGTACTTCATTCTTTTATACTCCTATGTCTTCTAAAGTGTTTACTTTAAAAGATCTTCAACATGTTCCCCAAATAACAAAAAACCTGCTAAGTGTATCTAAATTTTGTAGAGATAATGAGGTATATGTTGAATTCCACTCCACTTATTGTCTTGTTAAATCTCAGGATTTGAAGGAAACTCTTCTGCAAGGCAACCTTAAAAATGGATTGTATGTTTTTGATGAAGTGAAATTTTTGAAACCTGATGCTTATGCGAATCCCGGTGCCTATGTTCCTACTACTCCCACTGTCTTGAATGTTCAAAGATATATAAGAAATATTATAATGTATGGCACAATAGACTTGCTCATGCATCTAAGAAAGTAGTAGAAGTTGTTATGAAAACTTGTAATGTTCCTATGATTATCAATAATAATAAAGATTCTTCTGTTTGCAAATCTTGTTGCATTGGTAAATCACATGTTCTTCCATTCTCTGATTCAACCACTATGTACAATGCCCCTTTTGAACTTGTTTATAGTGATGTTTGGGGTCCTTCTCACTATGTTTCTAGAAAAGGGTTTAGATACTATGTTCATTTTATTGATGCCTATTTTAAGTATACATGGATCTACTTTATGCATAATAAATATGAAATTGCACATCACTTTAATCATTTTAAAGCTATGGTTGAAAATCAATTTGGAAGAAAAATTAAAATGTTCCAATCAAATGGGCGAAAAGAATTCACTTGCCTTACAAAGAAATTTAATGAAAGTGGCATCATACACAGACTCAGTTGTCCACATACTCACCAACAAAATGGGACAACTAAGAGGAAACATAGACATATCACAGAAGTTGGCTTAACTCTTTTATCCTCATCTATCCTTTCTCATGTGTTTTGGTCAGATGCGTTTAGTACTGCTATTCATATCATAAATAGGCTTCCAACATCTATTCTTGGACTAAAATCTCCACATGAAGTTCTGTTTAAGAAACTGCCTAACTATATGTTGTTAAAACCATTTGGTTGTGCCTGCTATTCTCACTTACAACCTTTTAATAGTCACAAAATGAATTTCCGATCATCTCAGTGTATTTTTATTGGCTATAGCATGCTACATAAAGGGTACAAATGTTTTACACTCAATGGGAAAATTATTATATCCCAGAATGTGATCTTTGGTGAAGACACGTTTCCTGGTATATCTATGTTTGGTATTGACAATTGCAGAAAAGTCACTATTTCAACTATCACAAGGAGTGTCGAGTATACCTATTCTGCCATCTCAATTACTTGTTCAACCTAATCATCAATCTGCTCAAACCATTATTGCTTCTAACACTCAAAATGCTGACTACGTCACAACTCCCACTCACTGCACTCCACTACACCATCTAATGACACAAACATTTCATCTGAACCACAACTTGACACACAAGCAACAAATCAAAATCCTATGACCACCAGAGCTGGAATTTTTAAGCCTCGGGTTCTTCTGGCTACATTAGAACCAACTACTACAATCCAAGCTCTTACTATCAAACATTGGAAACAAGCCATGGAAGATGAATACAATGCGTTAATGAAGAATTATACCTGGGATTTAGTCTCTCTACCTCCAGGCATAAAGGCAATAACTTGCAAATGGATTTTCAAGAACAAGTATAAACTAGATGGCTCCATTCTCAAATACAAACCCAAATTAGTGGCCAGAGGCTTCAATCAACAACAGGGACTGGATTATACAAAAACTTTTAGCCCTGTCATCAAACCCGTCAACATCAGTGGTTCTTGCTCTTGTAGTCTCTAAAGGCTAGCCAATCCACCAAATTGATGTGGATAATGCCTTCCTCAATGGTGATCTAAAAGAAGAAATATACATGCAGCAGCCACAAGGATTTCACAAAGGGAATTTAGATACTGTTAGCAAATTAAGAAAAGAAATCTATGGTCTCAAACAAGCTCCATGAGCTTGGTTTCAAAAACTTACTGTCAACTTACTCTGGTTGGGTTTTCAACAAGCTATATCATGTCACTCTCTGTTTATCTTTACTTCCAAAACCACTACCATATGCATTCTCATATATGTTGATGATATAATCATCACTAGCAATTCTTCTATAGCCATACAAAATTTGATTCAAACTCTTCATAAATCCTTTCCTCTCAAAGATCTTGGCAAACTTCATCATTTCCTAGGAATAGAAGTTAACCCTGATAATGCAGGAGGCATTCATCTTTCTCAAACCAAGTATCTAATAGATATACTTGACAAACTCATGAACATGTCTAATGCCAAGACTTTCAAAACTCCAATGGCACCTTCCTCAAAACTCACAAATGATGGCACCACAGTTTGTTAGGATCCTAGTCTTTATAGGTCAATAATTGGAGCTCTACAGTATCTTATAATTACTAGACCAAACATTGCTTACATAGTAAATAAGTTGTGTCAATTCATGCACCATCCTCTTGAGATTCATTGGAGAGCAACAAAAAGGCTACTAAGATATCTTAAAGGTACTTGTCAACATGGTTACACTATAAGAAATCCAGTGATACTAAAATTCTTACTTACTATGATTCGGATTGGGCAAGTGATCAAGAAGACATGAGATCAACATCTGGGAATTGTGTGTATCTCAGATCCAATATCGTATCTTGGATGGCAAAGAAACAAAGAGTTGTATCTAGATTTAGCACAAAGGTAGAATTTAGAAGTTTGGCAAGTCTAGTTGTAGAAATTCAATACATTCAGAATCTCCTTTTCAAACTTCATATCAGGAGTAAACAACCACCTCTGATCTGGTGCGATAATCAAGGGGCCGTTTTTCTATCTGTCGATCCAGTCATGCATACTAAAAAAAACACTTTGAATTATATTTATGGTTTGTGAGAGAAAGAGTGGCTTGGGGACAAATTCAAGTTCATCATATTCCAGCAAGATTTCAAGTTGCAGATCTTTTAACTAAGTCTCGAAATTCTGCTATATTCCTAGATCTAAGAGACAAACTCACTGTTGTTAAACAATCCGCACTAAGTTTGAAGGGGGATAAAAAAGATATTAAGTCATCTCTCTATAATAACATATATAGTCTGTTAGCTGAGTTGGAATAGTTTTCATATTAGTTAGTTAGTTAGACTGTTATCTCTTTCTGTATATATATTCTTGTTGTATTATGTTTTATGTACAATATAACATATTAATATTTCTTGTTTGCATTCTTCATTCTCTTTGGCTGTTCTTTCACAAACCAAAACCAAAATAAATATATTATAGAAATAAAAAAATAGTCAAGTCTAAATTTTATCAACAATAAATGAAAGTTAAAATATGTTTTTAATCCCTATAGTTTCACTTACTTTAACTTTTAGTTCCTATAGTTTAAATGAATATTTTTAGTGTCTATACTAATCTTTTTCAATCAATTTTAGCCCTTATAGTTTTAAATAGATCTTTTTTTATTTCTTATATTTATAATCTTTTTAGTCCTTATCGTTAATTTTTTTAACATTATCTGTTCTATGTTGACATAGTAGATGTCTTTAATTTTGTGAAGTTAAAAAAAATGTTTCAACAATGGGCATAACATGTAATGGTACAAAAAAATGAACAGAGAATTTAGAGTAACTCCAGCAAAACAAATTCGACATAAGATATACAAAATTGAATTAATATCTCCGTCATGTCAATAAAAAAAGGTTATAAAAACTATTAACAATAAAGACTAAGAAAATAAAAAAAATTATAAATATAAAAATTTAAAAGATGTATCTTAAACTATAGGAATTAAAAAGGATGAAAAATAAATATACCAACTAAAATTTTCTATTTTAAATTAATAATTATTTTTAAATAAGTGTGAAATTTTTTAGGAGGCCAGGGGCAACCGACTGATTAGCCTTGTAGTGGCCACGACTCTGTTTCTTTATACACAAAAAATGGAACTCGGACAAAGACATAAAAGTGTAAGAGTAAAGGTCTAACTCAGTCTCTAACACGTGATTTGCTATTTGAGTAATGAGATATGCACAACAACTTATATTAACACCTCTCTTTGGGTTTATATTTATGAATTACTTCATTAATGATAGATAAAAGTAAACATAAAAAGTAATGTTGTACTTATATCATAACTCTTTGCTACTCGGTTTTGCTCCTAAAACAAGTAAACAATTATCATAAAAAGGCTAAAGTTTAATGCCTACCCAGCAACTTGTCCTTGTTGAAGCCATGGCCTCCAATCTTCCACAATGGAGTAGTTTAAAGCCCTAATCCATGCTTGAGTCGATATGAAAGGAACAAGTGCATCATGATCCCCACTGTCAACATAACATGCACCAATTGCCATAAGAAATCACCTAGTTGCTAACATTTCTGGAAAAGCTAAAACAACAACACTAAACATAAGGAAATAGAAGTTTTCAGAAAAATAAAGTCTAACTTAGATGTGAAAAATCTTCACCTGAATATTAAGGAACGATAGCCTTTTGCACTGAGATTTACATGAAACTCAAAGCTATTAGAAATCTGATTCTCAAAATCAGTTTTGTAACAACGTTCCCATTTGCCTATAGTTCCCTGAAGTGCATTCATGTGTATGATATCCATTAATTTCTAAGGTTTCTTTGGTAAATATTTGACTCAAATTTAAACTCATATAGAGTTGAAAGTAGACTTAAGTATTTGTTTCCAATTGTGATAAAACATTACCAATCCACTTAACAGAATGAAGAATATATTTTATCAAACCTCTCGAATATTTAGTGACTTGCGAACATTCTCATAATTAAGCCATTGATTGGAAAGAGAATCTTCATAATGCTACAACAAAGTAAAATGCCAAAAATTAAATTTGAAACATTGTGGATAAAAAATGTGACAGAAAGTCTTTACAAGGTATTACTTTGCAAGGAACGAGTTGAGGCTCCTGTATCAGAGATCTCCTCCATTGAGCTTCACGTGCTTTAGGCAAATCATCTTTGTAACAAGGTTTCAAAATGTGTTCGACATTAAGTTTTGAAAGGCACTGGGGATAAGAAGTAATAGTTTACTAATTTGGTGAATAACCTAATTTGATATAAATAACAAGGGTAGAAGAGATTATCATAATAAAAATAGGATGGTCTTACTTGCCTCCTCAAAGTAGTTGATATCTCTTGAACATAGCTCATTTCTGGAATCTATATCAACATACTCACCTCTACAATTTCTCTGCAGTGACTGTCCATAGTATAGATAATTATGAATTATTAGCATTTCTTCTAGCATTTTTTTAGGGAACTAGGCATGAAATTATTATCTGACTCCATTGGATCGAATATAAATGATAAGAAAATAATTTCATGCAAAATTTATGTACAAACACATCACCAGCTTATTAGAAAATACAAATGTAATTAAATAGCCTTATCAAACAGAAAAAATATATATTGTCATTACCGCATATAGTTCATCAGAAATAAGTCCCATTCCATGAGCAAATGGGATTTTATGATTCTTTTCTTTTCTTGTTGTTATTGGGTTCCCTAGTAGATATCCCTGAAAATATCTTGATATTAATTTAGGGTTCATAATTCATAAAAGGAATTGATAATATTACAAGTTACAACTTTGAAAAGGTGAAAAATAAACTTGCTTGAATGTTTTGGAGTTTTGAAAATTGGGGAAATTGGTTGCAAACCTGGAGATTTATGGGTGGTTGGAGACCTATTTCATTTCCTGTTAATCAATGAAATTGAGGAATAACGGTTAGCATTATCATAACTATATGCATGTTAAGCTTTTTATATGTAAGTTTTATCTAGTTTATATTCTTCAATTAAAAAAATCAATAGCAAAAATAAATATGTCTTTAACTTAGTAAACAACTTGATGCTTTTTTTGATAGTTAATATATATTTTACAGGATGCCAAAAGAAGTCAAATTTTTAGATAAAATTAATGACAAAGTTCAACAATTAAAATACTACATATAGTTTAGTTTGAGAAAATTTTAAATCCTTAAATAATTATTTAAAATAAATAAATATAAAACTACCCATGTTAGTAAAAGCGAAATCATTTATGGAAAAAAAAAAAACATTTAAATTAAAAGTAAAGCTCATTAAGTAAAATGTATGCACAATCTCCGAACTAAATAATATACCTATGCATGTGCTTGTTCTCACGCACAACAAGCAATATGAGTGTAATTGTACCTAAATTGTTGTATTGATTTATTTTTGAAAGGACTCAAATTTTGCAAAGTTAGGTTGTATGAACTAGTGTGTAAGTTGAGAGTGGTGTGTCCTCCGATCTAAATTGTAGGCTATCTATTATTGGTTGAACGTTGAAGTTAGGGATGACAGATTAATAGATTGAATAATTTTTTAGGTAGATTATAATAAATCGCATAGAAATAATTTATTAATCTATTTAAATTTATTAAAAATTTAATTTATTTAAAGAAAAAATTCATTTAATTAATTTATTAACATTTTTTCTATGAATAGATATTCAATACATTTATAAAAGTAATGTTTTAAAAATTAAATAATTTTTATTTTAAAAATATTTTATTTTTCTCTCTTTTAATTTGTTTATAAGTCATTATTTTATTACATAGTCTTTTAAAATTCATAAAACTTTTTTATATCAAAATAATATTTGAAAATCACAAATCCAATAAACATTTTATATTGTCATTCAATAAATTTTAAAAAAGTAGTGATGGAACACCAACCTTCCATAAAATTAAACGGATAGATTAGATCTTATTCATTATTTATTTTTATTATAATGGATAAATTATATAAATTTACTTATGGATGAATTAAATGGATAATAGATAAATAGATTCATTTATCACTCATTCGTGATCGCGGCATACAGAATATTATGAGGTGCAAGTTGAGACTGATTTGACTCTTGTAGTCAAATTCTTACCAGAAGGTTGTAGTAGAACTCATGTTTGTTTCTCTCTTTCCAACATGGTGTGGTAAGTATGGTAGATGACATAAATTTTATGCGTTGCAACCATGTGTTTCCAGAGGCCAATCAGATTGCTAATGCTTTAGTTAATTATGACATGCCTATGGCCCTGGATTTTCATATCAATGGATGTGTCTGTTGTTCCCTTATTTAGAGACTTCTAGCCTGGCATGGGTTGTTAGCCACTCTTTGCACAAGAGAAAAAAAACTAGTGTGTAATATTATTTTTCTTTTATTTTATATTCTTTATATTAAGTCTTTTTCATGGACCAATTCAGAAAGGAATACAAGGGAGTAAGTAATAGATAAGGGTATAATGAGTGAACAATTAATTAGATAATTAAATACATCCAATCTTGGCTTGGCAATTCTTATTTGCTAACTTGTACATACCATAGGAGAATCCAAATAATAATTAGTGTATTAGCATAAGAATATTAGTTAAAATGATTAGGAAACATTTTCTGCCACATTTTTAATGACATTAGCTATTACTTGAGCAATTTATTCATCTTATAAATTGAGCCATTTAAATTTTGCTTACCATTTGAAATTTCTAGAACAATAGCAGGGCCAGGAATGCCAGAATATGAATCAGCTCCCATGTAAAATTCATTTGAAATAAATTCTGGGTGATCACTCAGCCACTACAGAGATTACCAGATAAAGATTGAAGCTTACTATTAAAATAATCAAAATTATATAGCATGTTTTCAAAATGGTTACGAGATTGTTTCTCCTTAAGTAAGATATAAACAAAGGAAAAAAAAACTTTTTTGCACGAAATATGATGACAATGAGTGTACCTTCCTAAGAAATTGATGGGTATGGTGAACTAATTTCCAGTCACTCCGTTGAGCAGTGAGATTTTTTGCATATGAGAAGCCAGTTCCAAAAGGCAAATCTACAAAAATAATGCTACATACCTGACAAAACAGAACATTAACATTAGTGGCACCAAATCACCCTCCAATAACAAAACATTAAAAAGAACAATGTAACAGAACAAGTATTACTCTATTCAACAAAAAGAAAGAAGGAAATAAGTGGTAATCTATGATACAATTATCTCAACATATCTTAAAATCACATGATTATGCTTTTTTTGTTTTTTTCTTTTACACTAGTATTTTAAAACTTCGTCTTATACTAATATGACTCACTCGAGGAGTAAGTATAACTTGACCAATAGTTATTTCCATTAATGATTGAACTTAAGTTCTACCCAAACGATTTGGTTGATGATGCTTAATATACATATAATATTAAGTCAAAAGACAATTTCCTGAATTCAATGTTTTAATATTAACAAACAAAGAATTTTTATAAAGAAGAAATGTTTGCAAAAACATCTTTAAACATATCTTTTAAAAGCTTATTAGATAAAGTGTAATATATAGATCATCTGTAAGACGTTATTAATCAAACGAAACATACAGTTCATCTCATAAATATTTATCATTTATTAAGACAATAAAATTCGATTTGAATGTTTCATTCCTTAACAGATCAAATAAAAAAATTGTCTCGAAACTCATAAATTTGTTTAAGAGAAGAACCATGTTTTCTATCATAACTAAATCCCTGAAATCACGAAGAAAAGCAGATAAAGTCACTACTATAGTTACTTTGTGTTAACATTGCTTCTACAAGCTTCGTTTGATATAAAAAGTTGATAAGTAGTCTCCTTGATCAGATAAGAGGTATTATTTGGTAAAATACATTTAATGCTCGCATTAAACGTGCCAAATGGCCACCTGCCACCAAAAGGAAAGCTGATGAAGATAAATGAAGCAAACTTGTGAGTTGAACTCCAAGTGTTGCAATAGTCTTCTTCTCCAAGCTACTATATAAGTAAATTCAAAGCACAAGAAAAAAATAGCATACATCTTAAACCACAAACATCAATTTCTAGTAATACATATACTTTCTACATAAACTATCTCTATAAACTCTATTCTTTCTTGTAAACATTCATTGCTCTATATCGATTGTATAACGTCTAACTTGGATGAACAAAACTTCTTTGTAACCTTCATAACCATTGTTACAAGGTTGAACCTAGGGAGACTTATTGAAAAAAGAATATTTGTTTTGAGCTTAGAGAGGCTTGATTAATAAAGAATACTTGGTTGTTAAGCTTGAAGAGGGTTATTATTAAAAGAATATTGGGTAGTCACTTAAAGAGGCAAGTTAAAAAATACTTAGGGTTGAGCCAAAATTGACTTGTTAAAAGAATACTTGTATCTTTGTTTAAAGATAGTGGAACACAATATAGTTAGATTAAGAACTAGACGTAGTCTCAATGGTTTAGGAAAAATCAACATAAAAATACCTAGTATTTCATCTGATTTCTCTTCTTGCTTCATCTAATTAGCGCTACTACTTCATTGCGAAAACGTGCAAGTTTTTGGTATGTATTATTCAACCTCCCCTTCTAGTATTTATCTTTTCTCCGCAGTTTGGTATCAAAGCTTAGCCTTTGACGGGGTTGAGCATTTAACTATGCTAAAGGACAAAGATCCATTATGGGAAGCAGTACTAAGGGATAATATATACCTACCATAATGAGCCTCTCTCATAAGGCCCCCTGCCTTTAATGGAAAGAACTACCCGTATTGAAAGGATCAAATGGAAATGTTCATCAAATCCACCCAATTTCACCTTTGGAGAATCATCACTCAAGACGATGTTGTTATTACCAAGCTTGAGAATACATATACTAAGGATGACTACAACACTCTACATCTAAATACTAAATTAAAATACATCCTTGCTTGCTCTCTATCCAAAACAAAGTATAACAAGTTCTACAGTTGCTCAAAGGTTAAAGAAATGTGGGATGTCATCATGGTAAATCATGAAGGTACTAAAGATGTAAGGCTCAAATGAGTTGCTACACTTAAGAGACACTATGAGTTGTTCTCCATGAAAGAGAACGAGTCCATAAACAAAATTTTTGGAGGATTCCAAATAATTCTAAATGAGTTAAAATCCCTAGGAACTAAGTTCTTTAGAGCTCAAAATAACCTTAAGATCTTGGACAACCTTCCTAAGATTTAGGAACCCAAAGCCACAGTCATCTTAGAAGCACGTGATCATAAAGTTCTTACTCTTGATGAGCTTCTTGGAACTTTACGAGTTCATGAGGTTCATTTGAATAGTAAAGATCACCCTAAAACAAATGACACTATTTCTTTAAAGGGTGATGAGACCAACAAAAAAAGAGAAAAGGGAAAAGCACTAAAGGTAGAATTTGAGCTCAATAGCTCAGATGATAGTTCCGATGACTCCACAAATGATAAGATATCTCTCATGTTTAAGAAGTTCAAGGAGATGCTGAAAAAGAAAGAAAGATTAAGAAACTTTCACAGAAAGAATGATAGGTTCAAAATGCCTAGTCATACTGAAAACAAAGAAGTTGTCTGTTATGAGTGCAAGAAGCCTGGTCATATGAAGGTTGATTGATCTTCATAAAGGAAGAGGTGGTCCTCCAAAAAGAAGGCTAAGAATAGCCTAATTGCTACTTAGGAATATCTGGAAAGTAGTAGAAGTAATAGTTTAGAAGATGAGAAGGCCAACATAAGCCTCAAGGCAAACATTGAGGAAAACACTACAAATATAGAGGTAAAATCTTACTCAAGCTTTCATTCTTCTAAATCTGATAATGATGAGATGCCCTATGAGATTCTCCTAGAAAACTCTCACATAATCTCTCTTGAGTGCAAGAAACTTAAAGAAAAACAAAAGACATTAGAAAAAGAAAATTTTGAACTTAAGAAGAAAATGTTAGATGTTGTGGGAGAGAAAAATTCTTTAAGAATACGATCACTAGCTTCGTCCCACTTGAGCTTATAACATTGGAGGTTGAAAACCTACAACTCAGGAAAGACTTAGCCAAATTTGTTGACAGATCTTCTAAGTTGAACATGTTTTTAAAGTATTGAAGACTTTTGTCTGACAAAAGTGATCTTGGTTTTGACACTAGTTTAGGGACATCTCAAGCCAAATCCAAGGTCCCTCTTTGTAAAGCTTGTGGAAATGGAGATAAAGCTCCAAGTAGACTAAAGAGTAAGACCAAAGGTTTGGGGACTAACTGAAAATGACCTAAGAAAATATGGATACCAAAATCTCAAACAATCTTTGTTGTAGATATCCTTAATGGGAAAAAGAAAGGATTCACATTGGTAGTTGGATAATGGTTGCTCATGACACATGACGGGAGAAAGGTATGTATTTCTAGACCTCCAACCACATGAAGGATCAATCTCCTTTGGAAGTGGAAAAGGAAAAATTAGAGGTATAGGTAAGATAGGTAAAGATTTTATACCTATTGTATATAATGTTTTATATGTTGAAGGGCTAAAGCATAACCTTCTTAGCATAAGTCAATTTGATGATAGTGGGTATATAGTAGTCTTTGACAAAGATGCATGTATAATCAAACAAGACGGTGAATTTGTACTTTTTACTTCTTAAAGAAATAATGATCTCTATCAGATTAATATAACTAGTTTGAGCAAATAAAATGTAATATGTCTATTATCTAGAGAAGATGAAAAATTGATTTAACACAAAAATATTGGGCATGCCAACATGAAACATATTTCAAAAATAAATAAAAAAGGTTTAGTAAAAGGACTGCCTGAAATCTCTTGGAAAATTCATATTCTCTATGAAGCATGTTAGAAAGGAAAATAGGTTAAAACATCTTTCAAAGCCAAGAAATTTGTTTTCATTTTTAGACCAGTAGAGTTGTTACATATGGATCTGTTTAATCCAACTATGACACTCAGTCTAGGAGGTAAGATGTATGGATTTGTCATTGTGGATGATTATTTTAGATATACATGGGTATACTTTCTAGGCCACAAACATGAGTAATTTAAGGTCTTTGAAATATTTTGTAAGCGTGTTCAAACTGGAAAAAGGATTCTGTATTGTTTCCATCAAAAGCGATCATCGAACTGAGTTTGAAAATTATGGTTTTAAAAGCTTTTGTGAAAAAACACGGTATCTTTCACAACTTCTCCTCACCAAGAACACCTTAACAAAATCGGGTAGTTGAAAGAAAGAACCTCTTTACAAGAAATGGCCAGAACACTTTTTGTAAAACTAATTTGCCAAAACATTTCTAAGCAGAAGTAATGAAACAACGTCTTACATTCAAAATAGAATATTGATAAGACCATTACTAAACAAAACTCCCTATGAATTGTGGAGAGAAAGAAAACCCAACATATCATATTTTCATCCTTTTGGATGTGAATGCTATATCCTAAATACTAAGGATCAACTAGGAAAGTTTGATTCCAAAGTGGATAAGGGTATCTTCCTTGGATATTTGGATACTTTAAAGGCCTATAGAGTTTACAACACTAGAACCTCTATGGTAGAAAAATCTATTCATGTAAAATTTAATGATGCATTAATGACTGATAGGAAACTATTAGATCTAGAAGAAAATTTTGTAGATTTTCATATTGAAGAAGATCAGACGGAAGAACCAAATGCTACAAATCAAATGATGGAACCTTTTGAGGAACAAAGAAATCAATCAAACGAATCCACTAGAGCTTAGAGAGATTGGAAGTTTATCAACTACCATCCTCAAGATCAAATCTTAGGAGATAAGGCTAAAGGCATCAAAACCATGTCGGTTATCAAAGATAATGCTTCATGTGCTTTGGTTTCATAAATAGAACCAAAGAACATAAACAAAGCATTAGGAGACAATGGTTGGATTATTTTCGTGAAGGAGGAGCTTCATCAATTCGAAATAAATGATGTCTAGACTCTAGTACCAAAGCCTGAACACCAAAGTGTGATTGGAACTAAATGAGTATTCAAAAACAAGTTAAACGAACAAGGTAAAGTGGTAAGGAAGAAGGCTAGATTGGTAGCTCATGGCTACAATCATTAATAAGGTATTGATTTCACCAAAACCTTTGTTCCTGTTGCTAGACTTAAAGCTATTAGGATCATGTTAGCTTTTACCACTCATAAAAACATAAAGCTTTTTCTAGTGAACATAAAAAGTGCCTTTTTAAATGGAATAATTGAAGAGGAAGTGTATGTTAATCAACCTCCAAATTTTGAAAATCCTTATTTTAAGGAACATGTTTTCAAACTCAAAAAGGTTATTTATGGTCTAAAACAAGCTCATAGAGCTTGGTATGATAGACTAAGTAATTTCTTACTTAGCAGTGATTTTGTGAGAGGTAAAGTTGACACGACCCTTTTTAAAAGAGAATCTAGAACAAATTTCATTGTAGTTCAGATATATGTAGACGATGTAATTTTTGGTGCTACTAATGAATCTCTATATAAATATTTTTCCAAGTTATTACAAATAGAATTTGAGATGAGTATGATGGGCGAGTTGAAGTTCTTCTTGGGACTTCAGATCAAGCAGATAGACAAAGACATTTTCATCCATCAACAAAAGTATACTAGAGAACTTCTTTTGAATTTTGGGATGAATGATTGTAAGCCAATGCCCACACCATGGATCCGTCTGTAAGTTTGTCAAAAGATGAATCAGGTAAACTAGTAGATTAGATGGTCTACATATGTATGATCGGATCCTACTCTACTTGACTACTAGTAGACTTGATATCATGTTCAACGTCTGTCTCTATGCTAAATTTCAATTTTATCTCAAAGAGTCTCATCTAAAAGCTATTAAATGAATATTTAGATATCTTACAAGCCCTACTAACCTTTGTGAAAAGAATAATAATTTCAGGTTAGAAGGATTATGTGATGCTGATTATGCTGGAGATAGGATTGAAAGAAATAGTACAAGTGGAGCTTGTCAATTCTTGTGAAGCTATCTCATTTCTTGGGCAAGCAAGAAACAAAACTCCATAGCTCTTTCAATTGCAAAGGCGGAGTATATCTCAACAACTAGATGTTGCTTATAGTTCTTATGGGTCAATGAAGACTATTATAGTCTTGAAAATAATATACCTATATTCTGTGATAACACCATTGTCATTAACACAACATTCCAAGGCAAAGCACATTGAGATAAAATATCATTTCATTTGTGATTATGTGCAGAAAGGAGCTTTTGATATAAAATTTACTGACATTGATCATCAATGAGTTGATATCTTTACAAAGGCTTTACCTAAAGAACACTTTAGATTCATTGCACTTAAAATGTAAGTTAGAACGAACACTACATGTATCATATAACTCATATCATTTTATGCTTACGTGTCATTTCATTAATCTAACCTGATATCTACACTAATCTATCATCTGAGTTTTTGAAAGAGGTTTTAAGTGCATTTAAAACTCATTAATGCAAGGAATCATGAGATGCATTGGTTTTCAGGAAAGTAACGCGTGGAGCAATGAGAACGACAGAGGCGCAACATGTCAGCACCTACCTCCTATTCCCTCAATTTACCTACCATGACTTATCAGACCTAGTCTCCCACTACAAAGAAAACTTACCCATTTTTCCCTCATCTCTCTCACTCTCTCAAAAGAACTTTCAATATGCAACTATTTATATTTCTCAAAAAAATCTCTCTACAAACACAAACCCTATTTTCCTAAATCACCAATGGCACCCAAACCTACTATGTTTGGTTGCAAGTTCCCATGGAGGAGTATCCAGAATCTACATTCCTACCAAGAAAGGTCATTATTGTATAAAAGATGCAAGATGAGGGCTACCTAATGAAGACATATCTTGACCAAGTTGGATGGACCTCATTCATTGAGCTAAAGTGCGACTGGGACCATGCTCCTTATGCCATTTTTTTGGGCTTTCGCCATCTAGGAGCCAAACTTTGTCACCGAGCGTATCGACCAAACAACCATCTACATCAACACTCTGACCATTGCAATAATCTCAAGTTGTAGGGAGGAAGGCAAATCCTATAGGGGAGATTGGGAGGCAGCCATCACCCAAGAGATAGTAGATGCATTTATCTACACAAATGGACCAAGACCACCAAAGAGGAACGCCTTGAAGAAATCGCTTGAAGAGGCAAGTCAAAAAATACGTAGGATTGAGCCAAAAGTGCCTTGTTAAAAGAATACATGTATCTTTATTTAAAAATAATGAAACTTAATTTGATTGGATTGAAAATAGGACATAGTCTGAGTGGTTGTGGCAAACTAGTAAAAAAAATACCAAGTGTTTCGTCTGACTACTCTTCTTGCTTCATCTAATAAATATTATTACTTCATTGCGAAAAACGTGCGAATTTTTTATATATATTATTTAACCCACTCTAATGTATATCTTTCCTCCATATATAATAGTTAAGTTTAAGTATGTTTTTTTTTTTTTTACTTGTTCTTGTAATATTTTTTAAAGGTCCTTGTAAAATTTTTATAGTCTTTGTTATTTTAGTTTTATTCTTATAATATACTTTATTATTATTATTTTTATTTGTAGAATATCTTGTTCATTTTTAGTTATTCTCTTTGAAAAAAAATTTGGTAAGGAATAAAAAAGAAATTACTGAAATATTACAATCACAAGAACAACAAAATATAACTATATTACAAAGAGTACTAAAATAAAATATTAAAGGCCAAAATATAAAAGAAAAATATTTCAAGGACCATTTTAAAATAATTTTATAAAGCAAAATTAAAAATGTTATATTTGAAAGAATAAAAGTATAATTAAATCTAGTAATTATTATTAAGTAAATTGTTACCATAAATATTTATATAATATTAAATATTTTGTTAATTTAAGAGTGAAAATAAGATAATATACGGTTAATTTTACGTCTTATTTGGCATAAAGCATAGTAATGACTAATAAAGTAACAAGTTGATGATTTAACAACATTGTAGTCCGGAAAGTCATTCATGTTGAATAGGTAAGTAATTGATATAATCAAGTATATATTATATCCTCAAGTAGAAATTTTTTTAACGTTCGTACTTTGAATAACATAGCCGCGTGGTGTGTCATAAACTAGATTATACGTGAGTTCTCAATAACAAGGGACCACAGAATCTATACCTTGGTCCAGGATTGGGGCCTCAAGATCAAATTTGGCAAGCTCCCAGTCTCATCATACTCCTCAAGATCAGTGTCGAATGCAAGTGGACCTATTTACACCCAATTGATTACAGAAGTCATTTTTGTAAGTTATTAAGTGAATAATCACTTTTAGTAGGATCAATTGTAGTGAAAAACTAAACAAAATATAGAAAATATAATGAAAGCAAAGCACTAGTGTTCATATTTTGCAGAAGAATGGATTACTTTCCCTTCATGCTTCTTCACATTTTATTTTCTATTTAAGAATTAATTGCATGCTTTCTTCCTCTATTATTTTATTTTTGTTTTATAAAAATAACATATCCAAAAAATTTCAAATATAATAACATATGATTCAATTATTTGATCAATTAAATTTATATTATAAAAAAAAATTATGAAAGATATAAAATTTATTGTAATTTTTTACACTTACTCAGTATTACGAATCCTGACACACTTTCTCTCGATATATATTTTACACGGCCTAAAAAAAGCATGAGTACATATTTAATCTACCATAAAGTTTGTATTTGAAAATTACCAAATTGAAAGAGAAGACCGGATATTGAAGAGCAACCAGGTCCTCCAGATAGCCAAAGCATAAGAGGGTCTTTTTCAGGATCATTCTCAGACTTAATAAAGTAATAGAACACTTGCATATCATTGTGACTTTCTCCCAATCCAACATAACTGAACACATCCCAAAGTGTGAAAAGTAAAAGCCTAAGACTAAATTAAAATTCAAAATCTTGAAGAAACCAAAACAGGGGAAGTGGTGTTGCTAACCCAGTTTCGAGTTTGAAAGGAAGAGGTCCTTCAAAGCCGGGAAGCACTTCCACCTTGGAGCGAGAAGTTCCAAGCTGAATGAAGATTGCAAGACCAAGTAGAACAATAATAATGAGAAAATGGCAAAACGAATAAGCAATCATGCTGGATAGAGAAATATGCATCACTTGAATTATTGAGAAAGCAATAATGAAGGGAAACAAGGACGGCTGGCGGAAGAGACGTGTGCGGTACGGGAAGAATAGAATATTACCCATAAAAGGAAATAAAGATTTCAAATTATGTTGTTGGACAATTGCTTCCGTGAGTCGTTGGACACATGCTTTACAGGAAAAAGTAAGTTTTATATAGACAAAGGTTTTAAAAAAATATAATGTTGGGATACAAATAAATCTCACATCGATAAAATAAAACAAGAAATAATAACTTATATAACATGAACATATTTCAATGATTGAGAGGCCTTTTGAGTGATGACCAAAAGTAAAATCGTGAGGGCTAAAGCTCAAAATAAAAATAACTCTCATAGAATATCCCCTCAGACTTGAAGGGAGGATTGTTGGGATACAAACAAGTTTAACATCAATAAAATAAGACAAAAAATAACAATTTATATAGCACAAACATACTTCAATGATTGAGAGGTCTTTTGGTGATGACCAAAAGCAAACCGTGAGGCTTAAGCCCAAAGCGGATAATATCTCATCATTGTGAAGTATGTTTGTGTAATAACATTATAAAAATATTTCTAAAATATCCCCTCACACAAAATACCATATAATAAACCCAACATATATAAATAGAGAAGAATTCTCATTTTACAAGTCAAGTCCAATAGTATTAGACGTGAGAGGATGTATTGAAAAAAATCTCTAAGTTTTACATCAATTATAGATAAGACAATTAAATTCACTATTCTAAGATAGTATCACATATTCTTCTAAGATGGTAATGGATTTATCTTAGATCATTAAAAAATGTCACTCACCATTTATTTATATACCAAATCCAATAGTGTTGGACCTAAGGAGGTGTATTGGAAAAAAAACCTAGATGGTATCAGATCTATCTTAAATTATTAAAAAGGATCACCCGCCATTTATCTACATATCAAGCTCAATAGTATTAGACAAGAGTGTATTGGGAAAAACCCAAGTCTCACATCGACTAGAGATAAAGCTTTTAAAGAGTATATATAAGTGAAGAACAATTCTCAGTATTGGAAAAAATCCAAGTCTCACATTGATTAGAAATAAGGCTTTTAAAAAGTATATAACTGGAGAACAATTCTCACATTATAAGTCAATTTTGTAAGGTTGAACAAGACTCAAATCTACTATTCAAAAATGGTTCACTTGAACTAGGATGAATACAAAATATATCCGGTAAAAGTTAATTCTACCAATTAAATTGTTTATTTAATAAAATATGTAATGTGACGAATATATCCATATAATATTATTATTTTGTTTAATCATATGTATGTTTTGCGAGCACACATGTCCCAACACGTTGCAATTTGTTTTGTTTATAGTCCATGAAAGAGCCATTACTAGAAAAATGTTATTTTTCTACAAATTTTTCTTCAAATAAATATTTGTAGGGATTTTTTGCAGTTTTTTTTTTTGTAAAAATAAATCCATAGAAACTTTTTGCAAATTTATTTGCAAAAAATAATTTGCAGAAACTTGTTACAAAATTTTTTATGAAAAATAATTTACAAGAAAATTTTTCAAATTTTGCAACAATTTTGATGATCATTAAAAAAAAATTCACGATAAAATTCATAGAAAATGTGATAAGAATTTTATTTTGTTTCTTGCAGATTTTCTTGCAAAAATAAATTCGCAAGTAATATTTATCAGTATTATAATAAATGGTAGAAAAATTCCACAGGTAATTTTTCTTGCGAATTTTCCTGTCAATTTTAATTTGTAGGAAAAATATTTTTTTTTAAATTTATAAGTTAAATAATTAAAAGTTTTTAATTAAAAAATATTATTTTACTAAATTATTTTTAAATATATCATTATAATTAAATTTAATTTTAAATTAAATTAAATTAAATTAAATGTATAAAATTTTGTAAATATGATCAATTAATGATAATGAGTTTTAATTGAATGATAATTTGCAAAATTTTAAAATTAAAAGTATTTACTTAACAAAA